GGGCGCCTTCACAATGTGCACATTTGTCACCTCACTGCTCTTCGACTTTCTGATGTGCAGGCCGATCGAGAAAAATTGGCAGGTCAAGCCATATGCAGGAAGTGAGTTATAATGCCTTGCAGGTTATCCTCCTCTATTAACACGATCCAAGACAACTGCACTGTGCGACCATTGAACTACATCGTCATCGAAGTCTTAAGCATCTTGTAAGTGCAGTATTCTCCGACCATCATCTATGCTTGCTCACTTATTGCACCAGAACTGATCTCTGTATCATGTGCGTCCCAATTCCACTGATTATCGTCGCCAAAATTCCAACGTCTCAGAAGTGGATTCTCACGGGTCTGTTTTCCTCCGGCATCTTCGTCATGATCGCTGCCGCTCTTCGAGCATACTACTCCGTCAAAGACATCTCAACTCTCGCTACAGCTTTGGGCTGGGCATCACGGCAGGCCTTTGTCTCAGCCATCATCGTCTGCGCCCCGGGGATCAAGCCTCTCCTCTCTCGCTTTTCGTGGTTTGCATCCTACAGTTCTTCCCGCGGATACGATAAAAAGGACCGAAGCCGAACGACCTTTTTCAACTCCAAGAGTGGGGGTCGAGATGTTACGGTGGTCAGCACCAGTGAGCCTCAGTCGTACGAGCTCTCGTCTATGGGCTGGTCAAAAAAACGGCAAAATCCGTCGGGAGAGAGCCAGGAACATATTATGGATCTCCTGCCGGCACCACAACAGGGCTACGCGGGCGACTCCGAACGAAACATGGGCATTATGATTACGACAGATGTGACTCTTGCGCATGAAGAAGCCTCTCCTGAAGATCTGCACCATGTATCCACCACCCCTCCATATGTGCACTGAAGCCAGTGGCTGTCTACAGAGCTTGGGTGGAACATGATTATGCTCAGCATGTTAAATGGCGTCAATCTAAGGCGATATCCTTTCCCATTTTGTGTACGCGAATAACCCATATTGGGCTGACACGGCTCTTCCTTGATGTCCCAGCGGATTGCCATATTTACGGTCCTGTTCTACTATGACCATATCAATGAATATTTAATACATCACAAGATTTTGATAGATCTACGTCACCTACTATGCAAAATGCGTCACTGTGAATGCCGCCCTGGTTTTCCACAACTTCTTGTGTTGCCTCCACCCTAGCACCAGCATTATGGCTACAGGCTTATCTTCTTAACCCAGGGAAAGGGCTGCCACACGAATGCCAATTTGTTTAAAGTGTAAGTTTTCTCAAAATCTCAAGCTTCCATATGCAGATCTCTGGTAGCTAATGCGTCAAGAACAGACCGACACCCTCGGAGAAAGCACCCCGCAACAACTGTCGAACGAGGCATAACCAGCTTCGTATTCATGTGTGCTCAAGACAGAACCCAATCAAAAAGTTCCATATTGATATCATGGCCATAAGAAATTGTGAGATATTGTGCTACTTCATGAGCTCATCTCTTTCCGGGCGTGCACGGCTGGCCACTTTGGTGGGTTCCCGATGACGGGCCCTGAGAGGAACGGGTGCTGGATGCTGCAGCGTTGGCATTGCGATCGGCAGCTCCTTGAGCTCGAGCAGCAAAGCCACCAGAGCTCATATCTTTTCCACCTTGGGCCTGTAGCTTTGTGAGCTTGCAATCTATGCCAACATACAGCACCTGCTAACTTGGGTGGACTGGATGCGGGAAGCATCCGACTTGCTCATCTGGTTGGAAGGCATGTTAATATAACAGCGACTGGTTCCTAGTATAGTGGTGTTTGTTCTGGAATGGATATTTTGTGTGTTGAATGTTTGTTCAAGAAGATCTTTAACCCCTCATATATGCTACCCACATTTTTCACATGTCTGTACTACATTGTAGTATTGCTTATTTCCTTCGTCATGTCATGGGTAACCATTCCGGTGCCATTTTCCGTCCAGTCGCTACAGCTCTAGTACATCGTCTCCTAAAACCCGGCTAGCCCTGTTCATTGGCTGGGACATACGCGGAGTCCCTAGAGTCTAGACCTTGCCCTTCGCTATACTCAAGGCTCGCATGGCCGCAATTTGCTTGCTGAGAAGGAGGATGCAACTACATTTTGGAATCCTTTGGTGCTTTGGTCTTTGTGACCCTCCTATCTGCACTACCTCAGGCATTTCACTGACCACCCTACTTCGCCTTCTGTTGCACTGGAAGGGCCCCTGGACCGTGCCAGGAAGCCAGCCCTTTCACGGAAACAGTCAGCACTGCTGTGTGGCCCTAAGGTCAGGTTTTTTTCTATCATCACCACAGTATGGCTGATGATATGGTGTTCCACCACTGCCCTTTGCAGCTTGTGGCCATACATGGTCAACCAGCGGGCCGGCACGCCATCATTTGCGTGGAGTTCAATTGCGTGGAGTTCAATTGAGACTCAGGTGGCGATTCCGACCATCGAAACTTCCTGTTTATTGCCATCGAGCTCCAGATATCCGTCGAATCTGGGCGAATATGCGAGACAAACGCAAGTTGGCACAATTGGAAGGGATGATTGCTTCACCATGACGAAAGCGACCGACGACAGCTTGCAGTGGCACCGTGTAGTTTGTGGTTCGTAGTTTGTACCACAGAAGGGGATGCACGCCAGTGGAACAATCTGGAAAGGAGCGGAGAATGAGTTGGCATGACAGCTGCAGCAGCAGCACACATGTGCAGTGGTTGGAATGAATCCAGAGTCCATCACTTCCTTCCTTGTGGCGGGTGGCAAACCCAGGTAGTATCACGTGACCACGCGTCGAACCCGCCAGAAGCGTCCGGGGGTGCCTGGGGCCTTCCCGCTGTCTCTGGCGGGCACTAACCCTCCTGGGCCACTGGTGCCAACGATCGTTCAGGGAGCTTCCAGCTTCCTCCAGCAGCTCCCCCTACGAGCTGGTACCTGCCTCTACCAGTCGCCATCATGGGGTCCAAAAGTTATATAAGGCCCTTCGGGATCTCTTCCAGTCGATCCTCATCATCGCAACAGACATCAAGCATCTACTACTACTACTACTACTACTACTACTACTACTACTACTACTACTACTACTACTACTACTACTACAAATACAACAATCGCAACCAACGTCTACTACATCTAACACTACCACTATCATAACAAATCTACCTACCACAATGTCTCTCTTCCGAACCATCCCTACTGCTGGCGACTTCGCCCCTCTCTTCCGCCTACTGGACGACTATGATCTCCACCGCTCCGGCCAAGGCTCCTCGGTGACTTCTGCTCGCACCTTTGCGCCTCGCTTCGACGTCCGCGAGACCTCGGATGGCTACCACCTCGATGGTGAGCTGCCCGGCATCGCCCAGAAGGACGTTGACATTGAGTTCTCCGACCCTCAGACTCTCGTGATCAAGGGTCGCACCGAGCGCGAATACCACTCCTCGGACAATGACGAGGCCCAGAACACCCCTGCCCCGGAAAATGCCAACAACAACAACAACAACAACAACAACAACAACAACAACAACCAGGGTGAGGGCAGCGCTGTCGTCCCCTCGGGTGATAAGCAAGTCTCCAAGAACAAGTCCAAGACCAAGCACCACTACTGGGTCAGCGAGCGCTCCGTTGGCGAGTTCCACCGCACCTTCTCCTTCCCTACTCGCGTCGACCAGGATGCTGTCAAGGCTTCCTTGAAGAATGGCATCCTGTCCATCTTCGTGCCTAAGGCGGCTGCTCCTTCTTCGAAGAAGATTACCATCGAGTAAAAATTGATCGGTGGTGCGACGAATAACGACTTGATGATGGGTTTCGAAATTGTTCCATAGCGTGTGATGTTTTTACTCTGTTGTCTTCATTCCCTTTGTTTCTTATCTGTGCCAGAATGCTGGGGGATTAGTGTCTAATAGTCGAGGTGTGCATTCTCAGTCGTTGCTGGGTTTTCGCTCCTTTCTGATATTGTATTTTAGTAATACTATACATTATTTGAAAGTTTGAATTCTCTCTTTCGCTCCTTTGCTAGTAATTCCCGGGTAAAAGTAACAACCAGACTTGATAATCGAAACATCGCAATACGTTTCGAAATGATAAAAAGCACTAGTCATGACCCTCGTACATAGACCACTCCTATGCCGGTTGTTATACTGCTGTCGCCAAGGCCCAGTGTCGACCCACATGTCGCATACGCTGCCATTGCAGCTAACAAGCGCAGCGACTTACCTAGTATGTATTGCGCCCGGCTAAATACTAGTAGCATGAGTCAATGTTACTGTTGTTCTCTGGGTGGGATGAGATGGTGAATGGCCTAAATAGAGTGACCTAGGAGTAGTTGCAGTCTGTTGTAGCATACTTCAACTTACAATGATTGGTCGTAACTATATATATCTCCATGGCACATCCCGAACGAAAAGCAAAAAGAACCAAATGTGCAAATTGCAGCGAAAATACCAAACGACAGTCAATAATGGCGTCCAAATACTGTCTATAAATGTCAAATAATACTCGTGACATGTGGCTTTTATTGGAATATCTTGAGCAGCAGCTTGATTTACAGCTAATAATGTAGTGCTTTAACAGTAGCTTATGTAGCAAGAAATAGAGACAGATAATATCTCCAATCCTCGATGGTCTAACGGTCATGATTTCCGCTTGTCAATCCCTTTCGGGAACAAGCGCGGGAGACCTGGGTTCGACTCCCAGTCGGGGAGATTTCTTTTTTGTTTTCTTTCTTTTGCCGGCCCGATCCCGTGCTCTATCTTCCGCATTCCGAATTCGCCCGCTCGCGCCACATGCGATCTTATCTCTAAGCGCCATGTGTGATGTTTTTATTATTTATTTTATTTTCCCCCATACTACTAGTATAGACCATGTTTGCTATTTTTCATGATGCTGGACCTATCCATTCCAGTCAAAATTAATCGCAACGCTCATAAAAAATCCGAACATAGTGAACCAGCCCCGTAGACTGCAGCGATACTATTACCACTCCCAAATAAGGAGAACTCCTGTTAATATAAGACGGGTTTCGTTCAAGAATATCTGTTAACAGCTGCCATTGATCATAGCCTCCCACAACGCAGGCCACAATGGTATACTTGCACGGGGATACTCCTGCCATATGAATCTGGGTAACCAGAACCCAGCCTCAATGGCAATGCCCACCATCCAAGGCGACATCGCATCTCCAAATAACCCTCTGGTTTTGCGACCAGCAGCAATGTACATGACTGCCACTACTATGGCAAAACCACCGATCATCTCAGCAACACATGCATCGCGTATCGAAATCCCTCCAGGACTGATGATACACCCCATATCAAACTCTGTGCTACCATATGCTTCTTGCACAGCCCACACTGCCAAGGCACTTCCAACAACTTGTCCAGCAATGTACATAGCAGCCCGCGATAAGGACACTCGGCGAAGAAAGTACGCAGCCAATGTAACAGTCGGATTGATATAGCCGCCAGTCGAGCGCGCAAAAGTAAAGATGATCAAAGGGAGGAGGCACACATTGACGATACTCGCAGGTAACAAGCGGACCCAATCGTAGTTGTCCGAGCTGAGGTAGGAGAGATTACCGGTATCGTCTCGATCTTTGGATGCTGGTGCAATCGTCACCCATGTCAACATGAACGTGTACATCATGCTGGCTGTATCTCTGGTTTAGCGTTCCATACAACCGTAATCAGATCATTATTGGGGTCACCATCTTACCAACACATTCTAGTAAGGTGCACTTCCACATAGTGACGTCCGCCAAGCACTTCCAGTCTGACAGGTCTGTACCTGGCTGGGTAGTACTTCGATAGCCATCGCCACGGCTCTGAGGGAAGCGGGCCACAGGTGCGATGCCGTGCGCTGGCTTCTCGCGACAGCCACTCTTCTCCATCCCAGGTATCATAATGTCGAAAGAGCAGAAAACGCAACCATGCACATGGTAAAAGTGCCAAGTTCGACAGTAACTGAAGTATGAAGTTGTTGTGGTTTGCTCGGCGGCCGGCGACTGCCGACCCGAGGAAAGTGGATCGCTGATATGAGATGCTCTTAGACGGGGAATTGTTATCAATCACAAATAGGAATGACACTGTCTCTGACCTACAAAATGAACCAAACAGACTTATGACTCTTCTTCTGGTTGTCGTCGTTCGGGTTCTTTCGGGTCCGTGGGATGTCCTTTTACCCGTTTCAGTGAGTGGATTTAGCTGTTGAGATGAAATCTAGTCACCTGCAAAGCAGGTGAAGGGTATCTATTCAGAGCGAGCAATGCTTCTAATTGAAGGTAAAAAACCAATTGAAATACAAAGACAGAATGATATCACGGGAACGAACAAAAACAGCTAGGCAAAATCGCGATGAGGGGACAACTGCTCCCTGAGCAGGTTTGTGCCACCCCTATCGTATAGAAAAAGAAATGAACGGAAATAATCGCCATATCGAAGTGTTCAAGGCATGTTCATGCCAACGCTGGGAGGAGATATCTGCAATCCCACTACTACGTGGGAACGAAGCAGCCTACCAGCTAGAGCACTTAGAGGTCGCCGTCGTCCAGCCAGTGAGACGGTTGGCGATATCAGAGGCGTAGCAAGAAGTGGCACCAGAGGCAAGATCAAGGTTGGTGGTCGACTTAAGGGAGTTTACACCGGAGTTGTAAAGTCTGGCGGCACGGTAGTAGGCCGCAACACCAGTCCGATCGGCCAAGTCCAGGTAAGAAGCGAGGCCATAACCGCCACTGGAGGAAGTTCCAATAGCTGAAGTAGGGAGATTGATGTTAGAAACTGCAGGTCCCTTAAGGATATTGACAAGGATTATAACGTACCTCCATCGCGGATCATCTGGACGATCTCCGAGTCGGAGCAGGTGCTCTTTCCATAGCAAGTACCGGTACCCTGGTAACTCTGCATGAGGCCAGGGTTGCTTACACTGTTGGCGGTAGTCGGGACCCGCACACAGCCCTTGGATTCCTGCAGAACCACGGCCAGAATGAAGCGATGGTCGACCTTGGACTCCTCAGCGACCTTCTCAATGGCACTCTTAATGTTTGCGGTCTCGGTTGCTGAGTTGTCCTGGCCCCAGCCATTGTTGCTGCAGGACTTGGCGATGACAGCATCCTTGTTGGCCTCCCACCTATAGTAGTGATGGGTTAGCATAACGGGTGCTTTGGAAGTAAGCCCGAAAGGGGGGCCTCAAGCATACATCGCATCGAAGGAAAGCCAGTCGGACTTGGCGGGCCATCCATCAGCCGTCGAACCATCGCCGGTGTACTTGGTGTAAGAGTTCGAGCCGGAGCTCTTGCCAACACTGTCATTGACGCTAGTGACAGCCAATGCGCTGACGGTCACCACTGCGTTGGTGGAACGGGAGGCCAACTGCTCTCCCTCCTCGACCTCCAGGGTCCGAGTTCCCAACGGAGCGGCGGCGGCGATGCCGGCAAGGGAGCCGACAGCAAGGTACTGTAGGACGGATGTTAGTACTCTGTTGCTGAGAGCCGGATATGTGCAGAATGGCTGCTTACGTTGAAGAACTGAGTGAAACGCATCTTGGTAGAAAGGTATTGTAAGTAGAAATTGGTTGATGAGTAGGACAAATGCTAATGATTGTGTGCTCTGCAAGGAGTGTATGTGATTGAAGGAATGTGATGAAGCTAGTCAATAGCTTCTGAATAAACTGTGAAAAAAGTGAAAAAAAAAAGGAAGGACTGTCGAAACCGACTTGATACTGCGAAAATGCTCTGCTTGGATAGAGACATTTTGGAGCAGCGCACTCGCGCTCTTTATACGAGCTGGCTGTATGGCATCTCTTCAGCCCCTCTTAGGAACAGAAGGTGTGAAGGATTGTGAGCGGCCCCAATTTGCAGGAGATGCTCCAAGGCATCGTTGGTTGGATACTACTTGTGAACAGTGGGCTGAGTGACTTGAGGGGTCCGAGCAAATCAGCGATGATAGTCGGTCATCACCAACGGCCCGCTAATTTAGCTGCCAATCGGGGCTGACGTGTGACAGTACGAAATGAAGGATAATGTCATCACGTCTATCCGATTCTGCCCTCAGGATGCATCTGAGAGGTCCGTCCAACATCTTGAAGATGCGGAAACCTAAGATCGTGCGGCACTACGCCGACACCAGCCCACCGGGGGTATAATTCAAGACCAGTAGGATGGATAATCCTCCCTCCATGATAGAGACTAGCGCAAGAAAAAAGCCCGAGGAGCCATGTGCGCAAGGCCGACAGAGCCAAGCTCAGCGAGCATCCGTGTTGGCCGAGCCCATGAGAGCCATCATTGGGAGAAGTCTCCACCCCGCGGCTGCCGCAGGTTCAGGCGCGAGGAACCAGTGAGGAGGATGAACTGACCAACGTTAGGTTTTGCATGGGCCACCGCGAGTCGGAAAGAGGAACCGAGAGCACACACTGCCTGTGCCAAATAGCATCATTGACTGGAGGGGGACTCGTCCAATGTGTGAGTTGACTGAGTTCAGGCAGACACGTTCGGGCTGAGGCCGAACTAGTGCGGGGCCGAAATCTCCATCGATTCGTGATTTTCCATCTTCACCGAGACAAACACACACCGACTGCCAGAACTATTCTGTTTAGGACGTACTCAAAGAAAATAAAAAGTCATCCGGTATACACTCAAGCCTTTCCTGTGTTGTGTTTCCCTCGTCTAGTGACTGCGCATCGACGCACTCTCGGAGACTCGAGAGTTACACACATGCCAGCAGCCCTAAGGCACACAGAGATTCCCCGAGAAACTTTGTAGAACAGTCATGTAGTGCAGTGGAGATGCCCCTATTCAGCATTGGTACTGTGTAAGGCACTGTGTAACGGAAGGGGCCGGTTTCAGCTTCCAGGGATTGAGTTTGTGTTTCAGATGGTGGCTGTGGCGATCCAATCTGGGGGCAGAGAACCAACATCTCGGCTTCCCGTTCCTGCGTAGTTTATTCTCCGGGCGCCTCGATTGCTCATAGGAAGCTGACATTGGCAGACGGCGGATCCGGCCAAGCGCTGTGGCGGTGGGTGGGGTCTGACGCTGCTGGACATGAGCGAGCACGCCGGCCGAATTCGTCCTTAGCGAGACAGGCTAGTCTGGCAGACTTTCCCTTGGCGTCGGATCAGAAGCTATCCAGATGTTACCCCCCTTTCAGCTTCCCATCACACTGCTGGTATCCTCTCCATCTCTAACCCTGCCATATTAGCCATATGGAATGTATGCTTTCAGACCAGAAATCTGTTTCTACAGCCCCGACATATCCGGATTGCGGTTCCGAGGGGTCCTAGCCACACCTTAACTGGAGATGTTGGCATTCGACTACCCACTCTCTCTGCAACATCGCAAGTTGTATGCCAAGTACTACTTGACAAATAGACATACACGAGGAGTTTACTTCCGTCTCACTGCCTCAAAGGATGATGCAGACACTGCTCTGGCCCGGTGCAGGTTCGGCCCCCAACTCTGACTCCATCCCGTTGGGGGTGTTCGTCATGACATGAAGATGCAATGCAGGTACCGTTCGTCAGACACGGAACAAGCTACTATATCTCTCGGAGCTGGTGTCCCGGCGATTTCTTTGACATGGGAAATTTCTAACGGAGCAATTACTCTACCCCGGGTCACCCAGACCAATAAACCACATCGGTCACGTTCTGGGTCACACCACTCCAATATACCGGCCCAGTATTTCACTATGTTCCCGCAGTTGGCATCTGCTGATGTTGCAGTGACATCCCCAGGTTCGGGGCCTTAACAAAAGCTCCACCCAACACAGCAGGATCAACCCCTTGTGGCTATGTCGTCTCCCCTCAATTTGTCATACAGCTTCAATTCTCTTAGGGGCTATTTTATTGTGAACTCGCTTGACAACAAGCTCTTGCGACAAACTGTCCTCCCCTTCAATTGACACCCCATTCCAAAAGGCCTAGCAACTTTTTCCTTCCAACTTATCTTTTTGGGTTTTCCTATTGGCACTTGCAGCAAGCATTGCAGCTATATAGATAGACCGTGGCAAGGACTGTGCGGCACTGAGGGAAGATGAGAGCGCCATAGAGGCATGGTATGTGTACTATGTCGTATTGCACATAGGAGCCGGCATGACAGTGAAGACTACACGCTTGAGTTGACATGCGTATATCTTCTATACCTTTTGCCAAAGCAAGTCTGCCCTGTTCCTACCAAGAACTGGAACATTATGCTAAGCTCCACGGGCTACCAACTGGCTTGATAAGAGTACTAACAGAGGCATTCCAGGCTCAGAGAAGCGTTCTTGCTGACCAAAGTTGTGTTACTAATGCACCTCACATAGAAACGAACCTGCATGACGAAACACGATCTCTCTTCAAAACGCGACGACAGGTTGGTCTCGTGGAAACATCGCAGGAATGAATATGGCTGGGACCTCAATCCTTGAGAGGACCTTCGTTCCCATGCTTCCCCCCGGCGTTGTATTGTGTGACAACGCACCGATGAGATGAAAGGCATCTCTACTCGAAGCCTCTCGAAATCTCTTTCCCGCTCCAATATCCAGACTATAACATGCTGCCCGACCATTGGACACCCTATCCCGAGGTGAAATTTGCTCGCCGTTTCTTTCACATGCATGACGGACTGCGTGCATTCCTGCCTATCCGGTGGTGTAAGCTGGGACTATATACATGAAATAATGCAGGAACACAAGAGCAAGTGGCATAATATGTGCTTAGCGCCATTTCGATGGATTTCGGCATGTCCGACGACCTGTCAACATGGGAGTTCGTCTTGTTGCCCTGTCAAGCTGACAGAATATTCTTTGTTATACCACCACAGATAGATAACTAGTTCATATTACAATGATTGCCTAAGTGCAAATGTTCCTTGACCAATCCAAACGATTTTCATAGCCATGAGCAGTGAAAGGCCGATACCGGATAAAGCTTTCCTAACCATGGCCTGCAGGCAATCCGCTCTAGCATGGGCACAGTCGCTAAATTAACAGGGAGCGACCGTGTGTTATAAGAGAAATTTTTAAATGGTCATGAGGTGGGTGGAGTGAATGCTGACGGACGCCAGCCCGTGATCCTTCTACCTCTGACTTCAACAAATGAGAGATTCAGTTCCCTAGTCTAGCCAGTCAAACAGGACCCACTACATCCTGTTGGCTCTACATAATGCTGTAGTGCTGCCAGGAAACCTGAAAGACTTTAGAATGCAGTCTCCACATGTCAGATCTGCTTAGCAAATTTCTCTTTTCAATATAGGTCTACGATGACCCCGATCGATAGCACTGGAGTTTTGACAGCCGCTCAGCCTCGCGAGACGCACGAGCAATGGCCTACCACTTCGCCTGTATATAATGCAGGCTCTCCCAGAGTTGGTGCAACTCAAAACCATCCTTTTCCTCTATCCAAGATTTAGTATCGGATTGACCACAATACAGCTTGACCATGGCCGAGTCTGATACCGTTGTCTCTGTCGCAAGTGACCCTACGTCATCCAATCCAAAAAAGGACCCCAAGGCGAAAGAAGAAAAGATTGGAATTACCTCTCATTGGATTTTCATAATTTGGAGCTGGTTTCTACTCACCATTCCTCTCTCATCACTGACAGCTGTCTTCCTCGCACTGGTCTTTAGCTACCGGGTTGGACATGGAAACTCCCCGTTTGAGAATCTCCGCGTGGGCCTCGCGACAGAAGGTTCATCGGATGCGTACTACGTGAATATGAACTCGAGTATTCTTCTATTTGTGACCTCATGGGCTAGTACCTTGGCTCCTATGCTGTCGGGCTTTCTCATTACGCTTGCGTCATTTCCCATCGCGAGAAGGTACCTCCAGGACATACAACAAGGACGTTTTGAACGGTTGCCTACCCCATACCAACTGACGCTCATGCTCAAGTTCTTTGACGGGGGCACTCTCGGAGCGACCTGGAGCTGGATTGTTTACCTCGTTTCGTGGAAAAAGAAGCGCCAGCCTCAGACTTCCACTCTGTTCTCAGCCGCTTCTGTGGCTTTGCTAGCGACATTACTTGGGTATGTACAGAGAGCTACTGCATGCACCCCCATTATTTTGATTTGTACATTGTCTGATAACTCCCAAACCAGAGCGTTGGTTTCTTTGGCAGATACCTGGCTTCACTTGACTACGACGACAGTCTCCTTCACTCGCGCCACTGCCGCCACGAACAATACCGACTACAGCTTTGGCCTGACCCCCCAGTGCTTGAAAGGTAACAATTCAGTCGCAGCACAGGAAGATACTGGCCTATGTAGTGTCTCGATGGCTGTCACGGGCCAGTTCCTGGCGAATGCAACCGTCAGTCTCGGCGTGCTAAACAACGTCTCTGATTTCGCGACCGTGTACACCTACGACAACAACAGCACGATGTACAGCTACCTAGGAATACCAGAGGGCACGGCCTCCGTGACCGACCGGGATTACGAAGCTCAAACATATGGTGCTGCGACACAGTGCGAGATGTTCTCCAAAAGATGCAACCTGACCGAAGTGACGACCTCTCTCCGATACAACTGCTCGAGTGCCTTTGCCGGCTTCATCGACTCCACCGAA